AGCAAATAATTGAATACGAAGGAGACAAAATTCTATGTAAAAAATGCGGTTCATTAGGACACACTTTAGGCCATTGTCCTACCACATTAATTCCAATGTCCCAGGTGGAGAATAATAAAGAAGGAGCAGTACAACATCAAGACACTCAAAGTTCACACAAATCAAGCAATGAGGATGACTGGCACACTGTATCCTTTCAAAAATCTAGAAGATCGGATAAGAGAATTCCAAAGGCAGGCAAGGAGACAAAAATGGAGGCAGGTATTGATGTTAAAATATTCAATGCCTCTACAGGTAAGTATATCAATACTCAAAAGTTGAAATTTTTCAATAAGAATTCTAACTCCTTGTCAGCTAGCAAAGGTAATATGGTTCATACTCGTATAGCTAATACCACCAATGCCATGATGGAAGTGAAATCAGCTAGTTTTCAGTTAGAAAACCGCTTCTCCAAGTTGTTGAATGAACACACTGTTTTGGACATTACCCCTCAAAAAATATTCTTTATTACTACCCAATTGTCTTGACATGCAGCAGTCCATTGGTAAATTGGACACGTCAATTACCACTAGGATTAATAATACCACTACTAAACCTATTCACCTTGTTCCAAACATATCTTCTAGTATAGATTATCCTAGTAATTTAACTAGCAACCCTACTAACACCGGCACTATTAACTCTAATGACATGACCACTAAAAACGAAAATACTACAAATGGCAACCCACACTTGTCCATAGAACCAAAGCATAGTGAACAAATGGAGGAAAGCATGCGACATGTGGCCGAACCTTGCCATGCAAAATCTTCTTCTATATCTCCTATGCTAACCATACAGATTGCATGCATGTAGATGCAATCATACCCTACTCATCCATCACCTTCAATTTAAGTGACAACCTTTCTTCTAAAAATGCCAAGACTACCACTGAACAACCGGAGGAGATACAGACTCATCCAAATTCTTCAACGCCCATGACCAGTGAACATGGAAAATCTTCCACTACTCCCACAAAAACTTCCAAACAACCCAATAATCTAAGTTCAACCTCCATTGTCACATGACCATCACCCACTGTCTTGGTTAGAGATAGGACTTATGGGGAGGGGTCTTATGTTCAATGCCACAATCAATGGGAAGGAGAGTGTGATACTAATCCAAAACCCACGCTATTTAGCTCAACTAGTGTCCGAGGGTCTTCATCTTGCTATGAGCAACTATATGAACCACGTGTGGGTGAACAACATTTTACAACCCTTAGTACCAGCAATGAACCCAAATTTAGTGCAAGATATGAGAACCCAGTGGAACCTACCCCCCACTTCAATCCAGTTCCTATACTACCGCAGAACCTAGGCTTAGATCTTCCTTTTTTCCCACCGGAGGCCCTAACAGCTGTGAATCCAATACTGATGCAGTGGGAAGAACCCCAACCCCAACAAAACCCACAAAATCCCAACATGCAAATGCCAGTGGAAGATATCAATCTCAATCCTCCAGTGGTTCCAAACGTAGGCAATCCAGTGGAAGAGGAAATGATCGATCAAACAGATTTGATAAGGGAATCAGTGGTGGAATTGGAAACCTAAACGAGGTAAAGGTTTACTTGTTCAAAGAAACTCAAGAGAAGAGGCACATTCTTTCTTGCCCCCGGAATCTATACAAATGTGCAATCGATATTCGTCCTGTGACGACCCGGCCGGTCGTCTTAAGAATTAACGCCCCGATCCCCTATTAACTGCTTTCCCCAAGTCTATTTCTGCTAATTTGATTTGCCGGGACGTTCGGTTTTGAGTTACGGAGAGTTTTGGGACACTTAGTCCCTAAATGAGAGCTTAAGTGTTAGAAAAGTGACCATAGTCGGAATAGTGTGAAGACGGCCTCAGAATGGAAATCTGATGGTTCCGTTAGTTTCGTTAGGTGATTTCAGGGTTAGGAGCGTGTTCGGAATGTCTTTTGGAGGTCCGTAGCTTATTTAGGCTTGAAATGCCGAAGTTTAAATTTTTGAAGTTTCCAATCCAATAGTGAGATTTTGATCCGAGGGTCGGAATGGAATTCCGGAAGTTGCAGTAATTCCGTCATGTCATTTGGGATGTGTGTGTAAAATTTCAGGTCATTCGGACGAGGTTTGATAGACTTTTTGATCGAAAATGTGTTTTTAGAGTTTTTGAAGTTCTTAAGGTTGAATTCAATGAAAAATAGGTGTTTTGGTGTTGTTTGTAGCGTTCCGAAGGTTGGAACAAGTTTGAACGATGTTTTAGGTTATGTTGGTGCAATTGGTTTGAAGTCCCGGGGACTCAGGTGAGTTCCGGGTAGGTTCCGAGATGTTTTTAGGCCAAAAATCAAAGCCATTGCAGGTCCAGAAGAGTTGCAGGCCTCAGAACCCACCAATGCGGTCCGCACGAAATCCAGTGCGTCCGCGGTGGGGGCTGTGCGGCCGCACAAAATGTAGTGCGGTCCGCGGTGGGGAGATGTTTCACTGGTCCTACTTCGGGAGCTCATATCTTTTTATCTACAAGGCATTTTCAAGGTATGCACATATACACATATAAGACTTCTACCGAAGTTTATGGAGTCTGGTAACCCCTCAAGGTTACATATAGGTTCGCCTCTGATAGTTCGATAAAATAATCAAGATACACACAGGTCGACTCAAATACCTATTAAATAAACTTTTTTTTTTTAAAAGTAAGTTAATATTTGCACGTTTCTTTAGCATTTAAGCCATTAGCCAGAAAGAAGTGACCAAGAAAGTGGAAAACTTTATTGTGCATGGTTCTGTTCACTTAGTTAATATCCATCTCTTTAATATTCTTTTTGCAAGTATATATACCCCTTTTCCAATGTCTTCTTCCTCAAATTAAATACTTCCAACTTCCTCTCTATTAAGCCCATTTTCAATGGCTAAAGTTTACTCTAACAAGTCAAATCTTATAAGTACTATTTCTTCTTCAATTTCTTCAAACTCTTATATGAGCCCAAGAAGAGAAATATTTACTTTGTGGATGAAATCTCTAGTCTACCATGGAAATGGCTGCACTGTTTATGATTCAAAAGGCCAAATTGTTTACCGAATTGACAATTACAACATAAAACGTAGCAAGGAAGTCCATCTCATGGATTCTAATGGCAGAGTTCTCTTTTCTGTTCGAAATAGGGTAAGCATAAGTTGGCCGCTTACGTGCAGGATTGATTCTTTTTTATGAGCCAAATACGTAAAAGTTCCTTCAAATAATTGAGTGACAATGAGATTGAGTTCACGATGTTGTCTGTTCTAATACCATGTTGAATTATATAACCATTTTAATTAAAAGTTTAAACTGCTAGAGAATTGCAGTATATTTTTTATTTAGTTAATACTATCTCTAACAATACTCAAATATTTTCTTGGTTTTTTTTCTCCTCAGAAAGTTCCAGTTTTTGGACATTGGGATGGCTATAAATGGAGTTATGGAGTGACTAGTAAAGAGATACCATGGTTTCAAGTGAAGAAAATTCACAATGTCCTTAGGGGAGATAATATGAATTATTATAATGTTATATTGGGATGTAATCAAGCTGAAGCAAATTGCTATAACATTATCCTTGGCACAACATCATTAAGATTGTGACCCAAGCAGGCAGACTTGTTGCAGAGGTTAGTCACTACCCTTTTGAGATATATAACAACATATAATTGTCCGTAAATATTGGAATAATAATCTAGAAAACAATGCAGGTTACCTGCTATAACAAGTTAAAATATACTGATCGTGTTAAATTCTTTTTGGCTTTGTGTTTATCAGGTAAAACAAAAACAAGCAACTTCAGGAGTACTATTTGGAAGTGATGTATTAACATTGGTTGTGGAACCTCATGTTGATCACTCATTGGTCATGGCTCTTGTTACTGTTTGTGGTCTCATCCATCACAAAATTTGATAATAGACCCAACTTGTTTGGGACTGAATCGTCGTCGTTATTGTTGTTGTAATAACTTAAGTAATGAGTTGTTTAGATGTAATCATGTAATGGATATTGAAATGAACATTATATTATCACAGTGTTCTATCTTATATGCACCAGTAATAGGATTATATTGAAAATAATTGTAGTTCATGCTCATGGCAAAATCCAAGATTATTTTAAGTTAGTTGGTACAGACTACAGAGTGCCATTAACAACTTTTTTGACCAATGGATACTAAATTAATTACAGAATACTATCAATTTATAATGATTCACCTGCCGAATTACTGAATGATTACGAGCTGTGGCTAATACCCGAGGCATTAGATAGAGTTCAATATGTCTATTGTCTAATGATATATATATATATATATATATATATATATATATATTACTGATGTGATAGATAATTTAACCATTTTATGGGCATTCTCTAGGCATTACCCCAATTTATATATATATATATATATATACAATATATATGTATATGTATGTATATATTACTGATGTGATAGATAATTTAACCATTTTATGGGCATTCTCTAGGCATTACCCCAATTTATGATAAATCACAAACTTTTAGCATATTGAATCCTATATAACTAAACCATTACAGTTTAGTGTCTTTCAAAATAATAGTAATATTTATTTTTCTACAGTCATATATCACATCAAGGAAAATAACTACACAATTTCACATTTGATGAAGGGAAGCTTTGACGTAGCTAGTAAAGTTGTTGTCATGTGACCAGGAGGTACGGGTTCAAGACGTGAAACAACATCATGCAGAAATGCAGAATAAGGCTGCATAAAATAGACCCTTGTGGTCCGATACTTTCCCGGACCCCGACGCATAACGGGAGCTTCGTGCACCGGGCTGCTATGTGAAAGTTAATATATGTTGAACTCTAATAGTATAAGTCTAAACTCAATCTCATGACAAAATAAATTCACTGGAAAAGATATCTTACTCTCATTGACCAAATAGCTAGTTTAAATTTTCTTCTTTTACAGATCAAAGAATGTAAGATTTGTCCATGCAAATATTAAATGAATAAAAGAAAAGAGTGTATTCATAAACAGAAGATATTACCAATAACTACTCACAAAAACAGCTGAAAGTACTCTTACATGACTAGTAAGTGAGACATATAACCTATTTAGCTAAACTATTTTACATTCTTGTATAATATCTAGGACTAAAGTCAAACATTATATGCAAGAAACAAAACTTTAAAATGATGAATTTTCCCTCACCAATTTACATTTATTTTGACAATCTTAGTAATCACTTCTTTGGAAGTTGGAACTGACTTATGGTTTCTTTTTAGCGTTTTCGCAATTTCATTACTAGCTGTTGTCTTTCTCCTTCTACCTCAGCAAACTTGAGACTTATTTCTGAATATCTATCTTGCATTTCCTTCAGTTCTTCTTCCATTACATTGTTCCTCTCCCTCAGTAGTTCAATTTCGCCGGTCAATTCCTCAACATGTCTTGTATTACATGCTGAGGCTTCATTTTTCTTGTCAAGTGAACAGCCATTGCAGCTGCATGTACAAATGTATTTACAAAGATGATAAAGGAAGAAAGACTTCTGGGGATACACTCATAATTTCTAGTAAGCGCTTGAGCAATATTTGATCGAAAGGCTAGAAAGACAATTAGAAAGATGAGAACTCGTACCTCTCCCCTGTGCATGTCGTAGAACCTGGATGTAGAACATCTGCAGCTACCTGTATCCAATATGAACCAAAAACTTAGAATGGTCTATCACAAAAATCAATACGAGCTAATATCACATCCGTGTCAAGTCAAACTTGAACGAGTTAATTGTGCTTAGTACTTGAGCCGTAACGCTGCAATAATACTCGTATGCTCAATTTGTTTTCCTTGTGAACCGATTAATACGTTCTCAAGAACAGAATAAACTGACTGTCTTGCTGCTGACGTTTACTAAAGTAACTTAAGTTTTGTGACAAAATCAGAATAAAGATGGCTTGCAGCTGACCTTTCGGGATTCTTGTTCGGAGAGCCTTTCTGCATTCTGACTAAGATCTTCTAATCTTCTATCTAACTCCTCTATTTTGTCTTGAAGATCTCTCTCCTTCTCCAAAAATGAATTTGTTGAGCTCTCAAGTGCACCTTCCTTCATCTTGATCTGACCCTGTTGGTCGTGGAACAATCGTACAGAATTATGAGCAGTTGGTATTTCAAGTACCAATTCACGTAAGATTTTGACCAACACTGGAAACAAAAAGGTCCAGTAATAAAGGAAGTACATAGACAGTTTATTTCCTAGTAAAATCATAAAAATAACCTATCTATATTGTGAAGTTTGAAAATATGTAAAAGAAGACAGACAGCAATTCGTATTGAAGTTAGAATACATTCAGAAAGAAAAAATGCAAGTAAAAATTTACCTCAAGCAACTTTATCTTATCTTTAAGACTTGCAACCTCTTTTGATCCTGCAGATGTAGCCATTAATTTGTTGTTCTTTGATGTTGCTTTCATTCCATTAGAAGCTATTAATCGACCGTTGGCATCCTTCAGCTTTTTATCTAAACCATTCAATGCATCCTCTTTCTTCTTTAGATCAGCTTTTAATTGAGACACCTGCTTTTTCAATTTTTCTTTCTCCACCTCGTCCTCAAACAACATCCTTTTCATTTCATTGCATCTCGATTTAAGGTTATCCATTTCCAAATGCAGTTTCCCAGCTATTGCCTCCTTCTCAGCCTTAAGAGACCTCATATTGTTTAATTCCTTCAAAGACTCCTCTGCTTCTTTTCTCACTGATGCAAGCTCAGTCTCCAGTTCGCGTCTTTCACTGCGACCTTGTTCGACAAGCAATTCCATATCTTTAATTGATGACCTCATTTTATCTAATTCAGCCATCAAGCTATTCTTCTGTTCTTCATGATCAGATGATGTTTTCTTGTCTGCTAATAGATTTGCAATCTCAGCTTCAAGGATAATAACTTTCTGTGACTGATGCTGCTGAGTATCCTTGGCGAGCTCTTCTTGTCTCTGTAGTTGCATAGATTTTTCTTCAATTTCTCTCTGCAACTTGTCGATTTGATGTGTCATTTTATTCACCTGGCTGGAAAGCTCAAGAACCCTTACTTCATAATTGTCTCTGATTGATTGGAGCTCCTCGGACGATTTCTGAAGCATATCTTCAAGGTGCATTTTCTGTAGGCGAAATTCATTAGCTTCGTTCAAAGCTTTGCTAGCCAATTTTTCATTAGCCTCAAAAGTGGACGCCATTTGAACAGAGAGTCGTTTAAATTCCTCCTGAAGCCGCTCTGCTGTGCTAGCATTTTGCCATCTTGTCTTCCTCAATGCTTCTTCAGCTCGTATTGCTCTCTGCTCTTGTTCAACTTTATCACGAGTCAATGCGCCTAAATCAGCTTCAAATCCCTGGGCTTGCTTTTCCAGTTCTTCCTCCAAGTTCCTCACTTGAGCTTCGAGTTCACTAATCGTGACCAAAGAGTCAGAGAATTCGTCAGATTGCTTCTTCAGCTCGTTCTCCAAGCTCTCGATCTGGGCTTCCAGTTGACTTGCAGTGGCATACGAAGAGGAACATTCATACTGCATCTTTAATTGTTCCTGTATCTGGCTTTGCTCCAATTTGTATGACATGTCATGGTTTTCTTGCTTCAGTATCTCATAGTCAAGGGCAAGTTGCTCCATCTGCATCTCTAAGTCGTCTCTGTCTCTTCTGTAGATCTCAATTTCACCATGCAGGTCCATGATTTTTTGCTCTAGCATGTATGTTTCCTTGGCATCGCTATGCTGTCTCACAAGCTGCTCAAGTGCTTTTTGCTCTTCATCATCTTCATCACTCATTTCATGCTTGGAGTTGGAGATAACATCTGGAAACTTCTCAGCATCATCGCACGTCGTTGATTTGTTGCACAGGTTAGCGATTTCTTGGTTTTTCTGTTCCAACATCTCATCTAGATCTTGGACAGCAAGAATTAGTTCAGAATTAGATTCTTGTGTCTTCTGAAGTTGTATCTGAAGATTTGCATTCATGTCCTTGTGATAACTCAACTCTTGCCTAAGCTCATCTACAAGAGCCTGAATATCCCCGTTGTCGTAAAGCAACTTGTCTTTGGACTTTGTCTCGTCAATACGTTTCTGTGAGGCTTTGAGTTTATCGCATTCTTCCTTGAGAGCATCTCGTTCCTCTTTCAAACTAGCTACCTCTTTTGAGAGGTCCTGTCCCCTTTTGCTCTCCTTGACTATCTGTTTCCGCAGAGTCTGTAGTTCCATATCCGACACGTCTGCTTGCCTAGCCATAGCTATGAGCTCAGTTTTGAGCTTTTCAACAACATCTGAACCCGCATCAAAAGCAGAAGCTTCCATCCACTCCCAGTGTGCATTCGGACTTTCTTCGTGAACTGTTGTTGAGACATTGCTATTTTGCTTCCGGGGAACCAAAGCATTATTCAGAGAGGACGGAAAGCTTATTTGCTCGTGATGGACCGTGTTGTTCTTCAATGGGATTTCACAAGGTGTATCAAGCCCTGAGCTGCTTCCAGAACTGGACAGGGTAATATCAGATTCGCTTGATGTCCGGCAGTTGCCATTCTTTCCACCATTTTGTGATGTAGGTTTGTTGGCCAGAGCTTCCTGTCAAATCCAAGGAAAAATAATGACACAACAGCAAATAATCAGAAAACCAAGAACGAGGCATAATTTGATGGAAGATATTCAAATATACACATACACGTGTGCGTGTTTGTGTGTGAAATTTATCAGTCAAGAACCATTTGTATAGCAGGCTATGAGAAATTGCTCCCAAAATCGATTGATCAATAACAACGTGCAATGGCAAGCTTTAAAATATTGCTCCCAAAATCTATAGATCAATAACAAAGTGCAATGGCAAGCTTTAAAATATTGCTCCCCGACTACGATAAAGTCTGAGGACATGATCCTCAGATGACAATCGGACAAAGGTCTTAATTTGTTTACCTCAATAAAATCATCTTTAACTATTGAATCAAAATCATCATTGCTTAATTGTGATCTCAAGCTTCTATCCAGAGAATTAAGTTTTGCAGTTTCGATTTCTTCGACAACACTGTAAAAAGTAAAGACACCAAAAAGTGGGAAATTTTGTTAACTTTCGACATTAGATTCAACTTGCAATCAAGCACTAAAACACGCACACAAAAACATGAAAGCTTCTGGAAATCGGATAGCACCTTTGATCAGCAGAATCTTGAATCCTCTGTATAGAAACCTATGGTTTAAAAAAGAGCAATTGGAAACCGATTACACCAATGCAAAGAATTTACGAAATACCAAAAGGAAAAGGGCAGCCCAGTGCACAAAGCATCCCGCGTTAATGCAGGGCCGGAAGAAGGGTGGTACCCCAAGGGGTGTGATGTAGACAGTCTACCCTAATGCAAGCATCGGTGGCTGCTTCCACGGCTCAAACTTGTGACCTATAGGTCACACGAAGACAACTTTACCGTTGCTCCAAGGCTCCCCTTCAATTTACTAAATACCAATCCCAATAATATTCTGCCAAAAAGGGTTAATAGACTTACATGCAACACAGCTTCAGATTTAGAATTTTTGAGAGGAAGAGACACCAAGGAGACCTTAGTTGCATCTGCATAACTCGAAAAGTCAAACGAAGCTTCGCCAACAATTCCAGATTTTGAAGAACCCTACAAAGTACACATCCAAAAACTTCACATAACTCCCTTAATAAAAATGCAGCATAGCATACAAATCCATAAACAAGAAATGTTGCTTACAGTTCCCACAACAAAGTTATAGATCCTCTCATGAATCTTCCCCGACTTTGGCTCTCGAACGAATTTCACAGTTTCAAGAACTCCATTCTCCCAATAGCAGCTCCCATCACGAACCGTTGCCTTCTCTGATTTTACCGTTGGCTTTCCAACATCAGCTGGAACCACAGATACCATTAATGCATCTCCTACTACCTGTGACACCTACACAAAAATCCCATTATGCTTTCATTCAATGCATAACTGTCAATCCTTCAACCACCTTTTTTTACCCCCCCCCCCCCACACACACACACACACACCCAACAAATCCAACCAAAGAAACAACTTAGAACAGAAAATTGAAGCAGAAAACAGCTCCATTTACAAGAAACTGCAGCATTATATGATGTCTAAATCAAAGATCTTCACAGTGTAAGACTTGGAACTCCATTTTAACAATATCAACCATTTTCCCCACAAATTAAATTGGAGTATCATATATGAATCTGGACATCAAATTACACCCTAAAGATTTGATTTGTATTTTCAACCTTTTTTTTCCCTTTACTACTAGTGTACAATATAGAAATGAATGCATCTAATCACTGATTTCAACATTGTTATTTCCAAGGCATTCAACATTAATTCCAAGAAAAAAGCTACCCACAACAGGACAAAAGTAAAAAAAAAAATCCAATCTTTGAGAAAAAAAAACAATCCTTGACTACAAATTTGCTCCCAACAATGCAATTACAGTAATAGTACCTGAGTTGCATGAAACTGCAACCTGAAAACAGCTTTGATCTTGTTCTTTTCGCTCCTCCATCTCCCAGACTTGAACATTTTTACAATATTAACCCTAAACTAATACATTTGCGCCGGAGCTCAGCTCTGAGCATCACCGGAGCTCCGGCGAACACTGACGGAAAATGATCATGCAACTGAAAAAGCACTCAAATTCACCACAACTAAGAATACCCAGATTGAGTTTTGCAGTGTAGAGCTGAAGAGAGTAAGCTAGAGAGCAAGAAACAGGGAAGGAGACACGTGGCACTGAGTAAACACAATGAATGAAATATGAGTTGAAACTGAGTTAAAATGGAGCCATTGTTACAATATGAAATGAAACACTTGTGAAAGTAATCAAGAATGTGTTAAGAAGAGAGAGAACAGCAGATCTGAAGTGGGTTTTCTTCCTGTATTTCACACACACACACACAGTGGTTCTCTTTCTCTCTCTGTATCTTTGTGTATATATAACAGTTCTCTTTGAAAAAGAGTAATCAGATAGTGACAATTTACTTATATTATATATTCCTGTTGTTCTTTCTTTTCTTTTTTATTTACTTTAAGATCAAATAATAATTGGTGTTATTTGTCAACAAAATTGGGAAAAGAGAAAGAAGAAAATAAAATATTGGAAAGGGAAGCTTCTCTGTCTTGTTTCAAGATTCTGACTGATCAGATATTAGGTAAAATTTTCTAGTAAATTTATTATATTAATTGTATGGAGTATATAATTAACAAATTGTATTATTACTATTATTAGGCATTGACATTAATGACCTTCAAATTATTCTAAGAAGATCTGCTTAATAATCAATTGAATCTGTCAATAAAAAGAAAAAAAAAACTATCACTTTCTACTTTTGGGTAAATTCCAAAATTTCAGGAAATTTTTGGCTCAAAATCATTTTGTATTAGTTTTTATTTTCAAATATTTTTTCTTTCTTGGTGGGGTTTCATTTTACAACCTAAATTATTCCTAGTGACTTGAACCTAGCAGCCTAGCATAGGATTCTAATGCAAAAAATTCCTTAGTTTTCTATTTTTGGGGGGGCTTCTAAAATGTTTGTTGCTACATCATCAATCTATTCAACAATTATTTTTGGTAATATTCAGTTTTCGCTAAATCTCAATCAAACTTTATAGATCCTACTTACTTACTATGTCAAAGAATATAGATAATTACTTATCTATGTATGAAGCCAATGAACTTTTCCTTTGGCACAACCAAATATAATTATGACAACAAAATTGAACAAGCTCACTGAGAATTACACTAAAAAAAATTCTTGGTTTGTAATAACAAGCCATGTTTTGCTTTATTAAAGCATAGTTCAATTGTTGTAATTTTCGCACTGTAGTTTCAATTAATTACCTATTCACGGAGTATAATTTAAAAGGAAAAGAAACCTCAGTTAGTAATGTCTTCAATTTTTTTCTTTAAAAATTTAAGGAAAATGCAAAATCAATGTCGAATTGAATGAAATTAGGTGGCGCTTACTTGTAGGGAATGGTCCATTATTTCCTTCTTTTTTCCTTATAAAGACTACACTTAGTGGGTGTTTGGACATAAGAATTGTAAAATTTCAAAGAAGAGTGAAAAAAAACAATTAAGTGAAAATGGTATTTGGTTTTGGACATGAATATAATTTTGGGTTGTTTTTGAAGTTTTGTGAGTGATTTGAGTGAAAATTTTTGAAAAACAGCTTTTTGGAGTTTTTCAAATTTTGAAAAATTTCCAAAATGCATCTTCATGTGAAAATTGGAAATTTTATAAACAAATGCTGAATTTTGAAAAAAAAAAAAGTAAAAATTTTTTGTAAAAAAAAAGGGAAAAAAATCTTATGTCCAAACGGGCTCTTATGACTCACAAATCCAAAGGCTGAATACATACGGAGACACTTAAAGTTGACACGATTTTTCATTTAGACACCTAAACTTAAGGGTGTTCCGATTGAGCACTTATGCTGCCCGAAACTTATTCCAATTAAGCGCTTCTTGTTGAGTTGGCACATAGAGTGAGTTTCACTCAATATAAGCGCGTGAAGAGCCCAAAAAATAGATTTTTTCCCTCCTCCTCCTCCTCCTCCTCCTCCTTCTTCTTCTCTTCTCCACTACCATTTCCACCATTGCCTCCTCCCTTTTTACCATTGTTGTGCCTCCACCATTGATTTAGTTGGAAAGTCTGAACCAACAATTGTCCCTATTGATTAAAACTGAAATGAGTCTGAGTTCTTCATTTCAAATCAAAACACCATTAATGGGGTCTTTAAAAAGCTTGAAGGTTTAAAATGGGTTACTTGATTTGATGAAAGTTTGAGAAATTAATGTTGGGGGTTGTCTTCGGGTCGTCGTAGGAAATCTTTAGCTGAAGTTATAACAAATTTGGAGGAGTTTCTCTTAAAAATTTGAATTAAAATCGTGGTTGGAACAAGAACACAAATGAAGATAGTGAAGTACACCAAGAACACTGATTTCCAGAACACCAATGTCTCATTTTTTTTAAAATATGTTCTTTCTTGGGTGTAAATGTTTTTCTTTTCTTTTTGAGATTGTTATTTATATTTTGTTTATTAATTAGATTTAACATAGTTTTTTCCTTTTTTTTTTACTCAAAAATGATATATGTCCTTTTTTAATTTGTCATTTGCCACGTCAGCAACGAGTGCATTGTACAAACTTTGTAAGTTTGGCTAATTTTCAAAGAAGTACTTAATTGGAATGAGTTTTGGGTAGTATAAGTGCTCAATAGGAACACCCTCAAGTTTAGGTGTCTAAATGAAAAATCGTGCCAATTTTAAGTGTCTCTGCATGTATTCAGCCCAAATCCAAATGCCATATCAATCTTCCTTCATTAAAAAGGGAAAAAGGTAAAGTGGCAAAAAAAAAAAAAAAAGAAGAAGAAGATAATGTCGTATTAAATTCTTCAGCAGAGTTATTTTACATTTTGAGATCGGAAGATCAAATGTTACATTTTCTTTCGCATTTGGTTACGTAAATTAAAATAATAATATTTGGTCCGTGCTATTTAGTCACTTGAACAATGCTTTGAACACGAAAGTGTCCAGTTGGCTATGATTCTTAATGATGCTTATCCATGTTTAATGTGAATTAAAGAAGTTTATTGTTTAAGCATCTACTACACCCTTACTTTTGTTCCCTTCATTTATGATTAAGTACACAAGTAATTAAGGAAATGAGAATCAAATTATTATGATGTTTACGAGAAGATAAAGGGTTAAAATGGTCATTTTATTAATAATATTCCGACGGTGGCTTGAAGACAAAGGAGCTGGAGAACGAAACCCAAAGGCCCATATTGCCAACGGTCAGCAGGGATACGTGTTAAGTGGATCAACTACTGATTATTAATTTCCAGAAAAGGACATCTGAACTAATAAAATGCCCTTTTTACCCTATTATTTCATAGGGCTTCCGTAAGCAAAAATCAACTTAATAATGACAAAATTATTGTCCAATGAAAAATGACAGTAAAATAGATACCGTATCGTATGTTATGTCTTTCCTTTATTTTTTATTTTTTTATTTTTCAGTAACTTATTGTTGGCTTAGGGAAACCTAATTAATTCTATAATTAATTACCGAAAAATATAGTACCAATTAATAGAGGAAAGAGGAAAAGATTTCATGTTTTTGGTGTAAACACCCGAAACACCTAAGTTTATACCCTTTTATCTGTTCTTCAACAGCAAATTCTTATTTTAAGTGTTAGATAATCATATTCTAGCTAGTAGCTACTGCTCAATTATTTTAGAGTATTTAAACTCCCGTTTGGCCATAGATTTTGGCTTCATTTTTTTAAAAAAAGAAAAAATTAAAAATATTGTTTGCTTATAAAATATGATAATGTCTTGGGAAAAAAATTCAAAAATTTTAAAGTTCCCAAAAACTAATTTAGTAGGCGTTTGGACATAAGAATTGTAAAATTCGAAAAAATGGTGAAAAAAATTTTCAAGTGAAAATGGTATTTGAAATTTAGAGTTGTGTTTGGACATAAATTTCAATTTGGGTTGTTTTTGAAGTTTTCTGAGTGATTTGACTGAAAACTTTGAAAAACAGTTTTTGCAGTTTTTCAAATTTTCAAAAATTTCCAAAATGCATCTTCAAGTGAAAATTGAAAATTTTATGACCAAATGTTGATTTCGAAAAAAAGTGAATTTTTTTTTGGAAAAATCTTCCTTCAAATTTTGTCCAAACGGGCACTTAGAGTAATTTTTGGGAGAAATTTTTTCTTTCACTCACAAAACTTCAACTTTTCTTTAAATAAAATGCATGTCCAAATACAATTTTAATTTTTAAAAAATTTATTTTTAACTAAATTTCAATTTTTTTTTTTTTATTTTTTTTTAAGTTTCAATCAAATTTATGTCCAAACGCTAACTAAAAATCAAGAAAATAACGTGTGCGTACCCCCCACTACCCCTTCATAAATATACTGTGTTAGTACCTGTTTCTATGCGTACCAAAAAATATGTACTACGTATTTTGTGTTGCTATTTTTCCCTGCGCAATTCTTTAATATCTACTTTAATTGTTTGGGTTCGCCACCGTTATCATTTATGTTTCGCGATAACGTGTGCAACATATTTTATTATTCTTTCTGTGTTATATTATCAGTATAGTTACTAAAAATTGTCTCAAATTATATGTTATTTTAGAGGTTCAAGACAACATTGATTATTATTTTTTTCCTTTTTTACCCTTAGTAATATTTATTCTTGAAAATGGAGATAATACATAAATAGAATAAATATTCAACGAAGAGAGATTTTATCTTAAGACATAAATAAAGGTAAAATAGTCTAATCCCTTTCCTAATTAATGTTTCTTAAGGAACGTGCAAAAGAAAAACACGACTAATAATTTGAGACAGATGAAGTAGTATTTGTTTGTTGTCTAGAGTAAGAATAAATATTTTATTAGTATTTGATTTTTACTAAGAGTTGCAGTGGGTTAAATAATACACATTCGCCCTTAATTTTATATTTTTCGTTAAGTTATAACCTTAAAAAAAAAAGATAAATATTTAAAAGTTAAAAAAAGGTATTATTGGAAAATTTTCATAAAACTTAGTAATTTTTTATACTGTTCCAACATATCACAATAAACAGGGGGATTTGCAGTCGTACCTTATATTTGTGCCACCTTTTAACCTGTACCCTATTTTTAAAAATTATTGATTTGGTAGCCAGTTAACAAAAAATCAGTAATAATATGACACTTACACCCCTGATAAATCACGTGATCTGCAACCTCATTCATGAAAAAAGATCTCCTCCTCTCCTATCAGCAGCTTTATCAAAAAATCAGAAACTTCATGCTAATGTAGCATGAAGTTGTTTCATGTTGAAGCTAAAACTTCATGCTAATGCATGCTGAAGTTATTTATGCTGCAGTCTATAGTTTTCTCATGAGTGCTGAAGTTATTTTGTTCATTTGCTAAAACTTCAGT